TTTTGGGCAGAACACACAGCAAGCATTTGGGCAGAGCGGTAACAGGGGCACGTTCTAGGAGTGGGTGAGTCTAGACTGGAGAGCCAGGGGAAGGTGGACAAGAGGTGGGCAGGGCAGATCCCACCTGACTTTGATAGCCACACAGGGGTTTTGCAGAGGTAGAAAAAAATACCAGGCCAGTTTTGAGGGGAAAAAACAACCAGAGCAGAAGGATCAAGCCAGTCCCAGCTATGGAGCATCTGATAGAAGGAGGGTGTGCAATAAGGAATCTGGTCAGACAGAGATGGTAATTGAGGTTCCAAGAACAGGGCAAGGGGAGCCAAGAAGACCCAGGTCCAGAGCACATTCCAGAAGGCTCCAAAAGCAGATGCTGACTCACGGTCAAGCTGAGCTGAGGTAACAGCCCACACCTCTGAGGGGACTGCAATTTCCTCTCTTGGTCTGTATTACTCATGCCCAGTCAGACCAACCTGCCCAAAAATATCATGAAGACTGGTTGCGGCTCATGTAGAAAGCTCAAAACAAGTATAGATTGGGAAAAGAAAAATCTCGGGCCTCCCTGGTGGCGCAAGGGGTTGGGACGCAACCTATGAAGCTGTCCGCAGCCACTGCAGCACGAGTTCGATCCCCGGCCAGGGAGCTACCCATTTGGCACAGCAGACCTCTCCTGACTTGCCCGCTGTTCCCCTCAGCAGTGCATTTCAGTCGATCTGCCTGTTCTGTTCCCCGCTCTGTCTCTGGCGAATCCTCTCACCCCCTACACATCTGGCCTGTACCCCAGTTCTTGTATGCATAAATAAATAAATCTTAAAAAAAAAAAAAAAGAAAAATCTAGATTTCAATGCACAATCTATCATGGGCTAGGGAGCTAGCTCATGCCACAGGCAGGGCAAAGTCGTCCAACCTCATCTTCTGTTACCCACCATCTAGAAAGATCCCCACCCTAACTTCAAAGGGAAGCAATACACAAAAACTTTCATGGTAAAACTATTTAAGCAGTTTATAAAATACTGACAGAGACTTTATCTCCTAAATCCTTGTATCCTGAATTCTTCTCTACCCCAAGCACTTACTACAGTGTTCTGTACAACAGGACTTTCTGAATACATATCTGTCAAGCACATGCTTAATAAATGCTAGGCTCTAAATTAGCAATACCAATGTATTAGGTTGGGGGGAGCTTTTATTTGGGGGGCTCATTGCAACATGAATAACAGTTAAATATGGTTTTAATTGTGGCTTCAAATCCTAATTCAAACAGTCTTCTGAATTACAAAAATTCAAAGGGTAGTTATAAATTATGGCCTGCCTAACTCAATTCAACAAACTCCAAACACAGACGCTACATCAAACACTGGTGATATATTCAAACACAAATGTGATGCTCTTTAGAACTTACAGTGGGAGAAGCAGCCAACCAGTAGCCACATTGCAGGCAAAATATGTGAAACTATGGAAGTATTAGAGACCAAAAAATAAATCTGATTAAGATAACAGATACCAAAGTTCCCTACAGGAAATATTAGCAGAAGAGAACTTTAAAGGGGCTACAGGCTATTCCAAGGGGAAGACTAGCAGCAAACGTGTGAGAGCAGTCCTCTAAGAAGTGCTCGGTTGCACTGGAGTGTAAGGAGGGCCTGAAGACTGGGAAAACAGTCTGGGACCGCAGTGGGGTCTGAATAAGTGCTCTCTGCTCAAACATCAGACCTGTAATGAGTAATGGGGAGTGATCTGAGGTTTCCAAAAAAGAAAGTGACAAACAAGAGCTTAAGGGAGGTGACTCGATGGCAGTGTGGAGGAGCAGCTTAAGACACCAAGGAAGAAGTCACAAGGGCAGTGACAGAGGCATGGGTATATATGCAGGTGAAGAAGTCGGAAACTGCTCTTTCCCCCACTTCCCATGCTATGTCTCACCCCTTTCTAGACCTGTCCTTTAGTAGGAAATACATGAATCTGGTTTGTGACGTAGATCAGAATTACTTTCTCATCCTACCACGACTTTTAGATGACGACTTTATAACAATGGTTTGCCAGGTCAGCCTAGCAAAGCTTACTGTAAAGTTCTAACTCATCTTCATTTGTAAAACAAACTTTTAAAAAATGCAGTACATGGACTGCAATCACTATTTTTGCCTTCTACAACCAAATTAATCTAATCTGAGATAAAACACTTGTACTGGGCCAGCCTCATCACTGAGATGCAGGCCAGTCCTCAACAAAAGCAAAGCAGGGAGGGCTGGGGAGGAGAAAGAACCACCCAGACACACTCTGGGTCACCCCAGCCATCCGCATTTCCATTTCCTTTCCATTTCCTTTCGGGCCAAGTACCTCTGAAACCTTTCTGCAGCCATTCCTTTCAAGTTGAAGGTGCAAGCACGTGCTCTTGGGGAATGGCCTAGTCAATTCTTGAGAAACTGCAGGGTTGAAGGAACACCAGCCTAGTCTTGGCTCTGTCACTGAGTACATGATTTGAATACATTATTCTCAGTGAATACATTATCATTTGAATACATTATCCTCAGTGATAAGGCTACATATTGGACTCTGGAGGCTCTGCAGTCTCTTCTAATTCTAAAATTGTCATTTTTGATGATGCTGTTAGTCCTGTGCCTTCTCCCAAATTCCTCTAACAAACACCCAGGGACAGAAAGCTAATACTGCTTTCCAGACCCTCCTGCACTACAATGTTCAGATCTGAGACGCCAAAGGAGCTCCAGTTTGTTGATGTTGACCAACCTTAAAAAAAAATCTGCAGGGGCCTCCCCGGTAGCACAGGGGTTAAAGTCTCAGCCCTGTCAAGCTATCCCCAGCCAATGTGGTATGAGTTCAATGCCCCACCAGGAAGCTGACCCACCTGGTACAGACCTCTCCTGTCCCCTCAGCAGTGTATTTCAGTAGATCCACCTGTTCTGCTCCCCACTCTGTCTCTGGTGAATCCTCTCACCCCCTACCTCTGACCTACACCCCAGTTCTTGTATGCATAAATAAGAAATTTTTTTAAATTTTGCAAATTCCTTGGAGGAAAGGCACTGATATCTGCTCAATAATAAAACTAAGATAGAACTGCAGCAAACTGGTGACAACATGGAATTCTATAAGCCCAATGCGCCTTTAGACTTTTTAAAAAACAAAAAAAAAGTATAAAATAATCTTCACTAATGACAGGATCATCGCTACCTCAAATGCACATGCTTTGAAAACTAAAAAAAAAAAAACCACTCAAGAGCTTTCTACAATCGTTTTCCTGAAGTCACTGCCCACCACGGGCTCCCACTTGACAAGTTATCTAAGTAACACTTACAACTTAAACTGATTATCAGCTGAGACCAGGTGATGATTGAGGAACACCCGAACAGAAGAGAGACTCACTTCCCCCTAAATAATTTAGTAACTAATTTTTTTTTTTATAATTACCAAGATCATTCTGTTTCTAATCTGAGTGTCAGTTTAAATCTCCCTCACCCCAGGAGGACTGGATCTCGGGTTGCTATTAGGGCCCCTATTGTAACTGACCAAGCATGGTTGTTAAAAGCTCTGGGAATAAAACCACGACCCCAAAACGCCCCATGCAATAGGAATACGCAATGGAAAGAGGAGAGACCAATAATTTTAAAAAGACAAGTAAAGCTGACTGCAAGAGCTGGGATCCTGGCTTTGCTTTGGATTACCAATAGTAGTGCTAGTAAAGAACCCATTTTCTAAAATTTTACTAAAATATGCATTCAATCGGGACAAATGGAACCTAAACTTCCGGGCCCTAAAAGTAAAGCAGACGCCGGTTCCCAGCTGCGTGAGCGTGTAACCACGCGAACTTAATCAATAAAGAAGTTCCCCCAGCGCCACTGCAGGCTCGGGGCGCCCTAGCAGCCCAGACCCGAGGAGAACGCGTAAAACCAAAATGGAGGAGGGGCCACCCGGGAGTCGCCGGAGCGCGAACCTCGTGGTAGCTTCTCATGGCGCCAAGCAGCCTCCCAGCTCCCTCTCCCCGGCCCCGGAGGCAGCATCCCGCCTCGCCCAGCCCGGTGCGCCGAACTGCTCCCCCGCAGGCCCGTCGTGCGGAGCCTGGAGCTGCAACAGAAGTGAGAGGGTGCAGAGCGACAGAGGAAACAATTAGCCACATCTTCGAGGCAGTTAGGGGAGCAAAGCCAGAAACATCTGGGAGGGCGCCACCCTTCTTCACCTGCAGAACAGCCAGGGGTACGGCGAGGCGATCGTTGTGGCCCTCGTCTCCCCTGGCCTCGCCAATAAAACAAAGCAAGCAGGTTCCTGGGGGAGTCAGGCGCCCCCCCGAGAAGAGCCCCCTCCCGGGAGCCAAATCGCGTTCGCCCAGGCATCAAGGCGCATGGAGCCATGAACTTTCTCATTGAGGCGGCGACGTTTCTTCTTATAGCCATTAAAAAAAAAAAAAAACAGAGGCGGCGGCGATTATTTCACTGATGTCACCGCACCTATTTGGCTCCCAGCATTTCTCCCCGAACCCCCTGCCATGCCCAGCCTCCGCGCGGGCTCCCCTTCCCCGGGACGCCGCCTGGAGCATTCTCGCGCTCGGCTTCCCGGCTCGCTCCGCCCTTGGCACTCGGGCCGCACCGCAGGGCCAGCACCTCCCGGCGAGGCCGAGGGAGGGGGCGCACCGGGGGCTGGTGGGGAGCCCGGCCAGAAGCCCTCTCCACCCCCCACCCCGACAGACTTGTAAAACAATAAGCATCCGCTTCCCCGCCCCTCCCCCACAGGACCCCGGCCACAAGTTCAGGCCGCCTGGGAAAGAGGCTCCAGGGAGCGCGCCCGCCCCGCGATCGTGGCCGGCGAACCCCGGGATCCTGCGGGGCCCGCGTGCTCGCCGCCGCGCCCGAGTCCGCGCGGGGAAGACCGCGAAGGCGCGCGGCCAAGAGCCGGGGCGCGCGGGCCACGCGGTGGCTGCAGCAACCGCCACGGCCCGCGGCTTCGGCCCCGTGCGCCCTGGGCCCGCCTGGAGGCGCACCGGGGCCCGCCGCCCGCCGTACCTTGCCGCTGGCCGTGCCCCCGCTGACTCCGATCAGGAAGGGCTCGCCGCTGCTGGGCTGCTGATGGCTCTGCAGGGTCTGCTCGCTGTCCCCGGCCATGGCTCGCGCGCCCTCCTGCCGCCGCGGGTTCGAACGGCTCCCGCGCGCGCGCCTCGGGCTCCCTCGCTGCCGGCCGGGCGCTGCCGGGTGAGGCTGCGGCTCCGAGCTGTTGCGGGACTGCTTTCCCGGGGGAAGCGAGGACCTTCTCTGCCCGCAGCAGCCCGGCCGCTTTACATCCCAGGCAGAGGTCAGCGTGATGCTGCCGCTCCAATCCGGCGGGCAGGGCGCTGCGATTCGCCCAGGCGCGGGCGGCGAGGCGTCTGGCCCCAGCCTCCGCCCCTCCCAGGCCGCGGCCGCCCGAGGGCTCCGGGAAAGGTGTGAGCCGGATCCTCCTCCCCACCCGCCCGCTTAACCCTTTCCAGACCGCCTGAGGCGGACCGGGGCTGGGAGAGAGATGCGCGCCCAGCGTTTGAATTCGGTGGGCGACCTCCTACTTCCAAGGGGAATGAAAAACTAGAAAAGCAGATCCCATCATGTAGGGAATGCCCCGGCTTGGAGAAGCAAAATTAGAGCAAGCTTGGAAGGTTGGGGTAAAATAAAGAGTTAAATGTCACTTGCCCATTATACAGGCTGAAAATTTGTATTTTCTGAAAATGACTACCCCTCTCCCCTCCGGTTCGCCCCCCCCCCAAAAAAAAATGCCAGTCGCTGTCTTTAAATATTTCCTCTTGGAAAACCCCCAAAACCATTCCCCTTAGTGGGCAACCCCCTAGAGCCCTCCAGAGAGAAGGGTAATTTGAGGGGCTTATCTGAAGTATGTCCTTTCAAATCACAATTTGCAATCTCCAATACTGGGATTCCTACAGAGTTAGGGTTTGTGGAAACATTAAAACACTGCCATTTTGATCCATTAATGGCTTTAATTGGACTGGAATTTCAGAGAGCAGCCATTAGTTACCGAGTTAGAAAGGCCGTTTGGACTGGTGACTCACTGCAGCCTCCACCTCTGCAATTAGATTCCTTGCAATCAGATCTACCAGCCAGTTACTTAATCTCCCTGTGCCTCAGAGTTCCCATCAATTAAATGGGAATAGTAATGACACTCAGGTTCTGATAGGTGTGAGCATTAGATGAATTCTTTGTGTAATGTTCTTAGAATTGTCCGTGGCACAGTGTAGTCCCTACAAAAATGTTTAAAAAGAATAGGCCCCTCAAGGGCTGAAACTGGAAAGGGAGCTTTTGGAGGTGGAAGGACTAGACTAGTAACTCCCAGTCTCTGCTCCTGTGAACCTGAGACTAACATCAATGAGCTGATGGAGAGCCTGCTATCTAAAAGAGAGCTCAAGTCAACAGCATTCTCTTTTAAAATGTCAATTATCTAAATTCAGAGTTATGGGGGGGGGATAGCAATGATAACTAACAGTATCAGAAAACACAAATGTTCTGGGCCTCCCCGGTGGCGCAGCGGTTGAGCGCTGGGTTGCGAAGCTGCCCGCGGCCTCTGCAGTGCCGGTTTGATCCCCGGCTGCTCCCCGGCCACTGGAGGAGGGTCCCACATGGCACGCAGACCTCTCCTGCCGCCCGCTGCTCTCCTCAGCAGTGTACTTCGGTCCTTCTGCCTATTCTACTCCCCGCTCTGGCTCTGGTGAATTCTCTCACCCTCCCGCACTTCTGACTGTACCCAGTGCTTGCATAAATAAATAAATAAATAAATAAATAAATAAATAAACCAACCAACCTTAAAAAAAAAAATTAAAAAAAAAAAAAAAAAGAAAACACAAATGTTCTCTTCATTTTTGACACATTTCAGGTCCCCATCCAAAACCTAACTCCCCAGAAGCTCAGACAAGAAACTGAGAGGCAGAGTTGCCACGTGGCACCCAGAGGCACACCTTTGGCAGAGGTGAACTAGGAGGAAGCCCTGCCAGAGGGCTGTGGCTGGGTAGCTTTTAGCCAATGGATGATGATTCTGCCTCTTCTTGGAAAAGTCTGTCCTTCACTGGAGTGATCTAATAGTCTTCGAGGACTTTTGCAGGTATCGTTATAGCCCAAGACACCTTGGAATTGGGACACCTAAGGGAATATGAAAAACCGAAGGGAAGGAAGTCATGGCCTCCAGAAATTTTTCCCAAGTCCTTCCCTTCCTCATCATTCCTGTAACCTTTCTTTTTTTTTTTCATTCCTATAACCTTTCTCCCAGATATTTTATCATAAAAATTTTCAAACATAAAGTTGAAAGATTTTATGGTAAACAACTATATTCCTACCATGTAGAGTCTATACTTATCACACTTGTCATCTGGAAACATTAAAACACTGCCATTTTGATGCCCACCAGCCATCACATTTTAGTACAGTATTTGTTTCCCTTTGGTTTGCTAGTTGTGACTTGCTCTGAACTGGTTTATACATTTATTGCTTTTTTAAAGATTTATTTATGCATACAAAAAGTGGATGTAGGCTAGAGGTATGGTGGAGGGGTTTGGGGTGAAAGGACTCACCAGAGAGAGTGGGGAGCAGAACAGGCAGATCTACTGAATTACACTACTGAGGGGAGCAGCAGGCAAGGCAGGAGAGGTCTGCTGCACCATGTGGATTAGCATCCTGGCCTGCCTGGGATAGAACTAGTGCAGCAGTGGCTGGCAATAGCTTGATAGCTCTGTCTTTAACCCCTGCACCGCCAGGGAGGCCCTATTGCTTTTTTTTAATTTACTATGTGCCAGAAACTGTACTAGATGCAGAGGATTTAGTACAGTTTCTAGTACAGTTTCTGGCACATAAAAGATCCTTAATAAATATTTGTTGAAGGAGTGAACACTGTGTTGCTATATTCTGGATGTCCACAGGGCAAATGACTGGCAAGCAGAAAGATTCAATCTGTGTTTGTTGAATGAATGAGTGAACAAATGAACAAATACAGAGGAGTAAGAAAGTACTGTCAAGTAAATTTCCCTTCTAACTTTTTGGAAAAAAAGGTGATATTTCCTAGGCTGTATTAATGTGGCTACTACTCTTATTTCTGGATGTTTTGTATTTCTGGCATCCCAAGTAACTATCTACATCTAGTCCCAGGGGTGTGTCTGTTAGCTTCTGACCCTAATTCAATATATTCATCTGCACCTAGTTTAATAATAATTTCACCTCTTTGCAGCAATGAAAATACATAAAAGGGCTCTGAGAAAACCAGAAGCCATCTGCATAAATGTAAGGCCTACTCAGCAGAGGACTTCCTGGTGTAGTCCATGCTGTTTTCACTTGCTGCTCTCCTTTTCTGTCCCTGGGACTGGCCTACCTACCCTCACATAAGGAAGTCACACATGCCCCTTGCAATCAAGCACTCTCAGCACAGGCGACCTCACAAGGACTTCCACAGCTCTGCTCTCTATGAAGCAAGCCAGGCCATCTGCTACTCCCTGTGCTGTGTCATCCTCTCCTGGGAGCCCAGTCACCAAATCCCATCACTAGCTTGTTCAAGTCACCTTAGAGACTATTGTAGGCAATTACACTGCAGATTCTGAGGTAAGTGATATCCAACATTCTCCCTCCCCGCCATTCAGAAAAAAATCAACCACTTTATATTAATAAAATCCAGTTAGATGCAATGAGATATATATTCGCAGTGTCGATCTATGATAATGTGTGTGTGTGTACAGATTCCAGTCTGATCAAGTACTGCATCCCCTGGTTAACATTCGGGCATGCAGTCAGCGTGAGTATGCACCCGCAGCTGGCATCCAAGAACAGGAGACCTGCTGTTGACAGTCCTCTGCCTGCCCTCTCTCCTTAAGGGGCTATAGTTGCAGCCAGACAAAGGATATTACACTTTGCCTCCAACTAAAAAGCTCCATCTTTAGGTGCTCAGGCCCCAAAGTTAATTCTCTAATTCCTTATCACATTCCCCCCAACAGAAAATATGTTATCACAGTTCAGGACTCTGGAGCATTTTGGTTCTCTCTATGGTCTTTTTAACTATTTTCTGCCTTTCATCAATCAGCAATTGCTTTGACAGATGTACTGGTCTGAAGATGACCAGATGATTTTTAAAGCATCTATCTCTGTGATCTTAATCACCTTCTCAAAATACTGTCAGGCAGGATGATACAGCACAGTCTCAGGCCAGCAGCAGCTCGGAATGCAAATGGTGAAGCAAGAACTAGTGAAGTCAGACTCAGGCAGTGGGGAGAGCCCAGCTAGCTAAGATTTAATCTGATGCTCTGGAGGAAAGAAAACAATGGCTCTCTGGTCAAAGAAGAAAGGTTTCCATCCTTGCCCTACTAACTTTGTAACCTTTGTCAAATTACTTAATTTCTATAAACTGCAGATTGTTCAGCTGTTTAATGATAGCTTTTAGGATGGTTGTGAAAATGACTATAGGGTCTCCCTGGTGGCCCAGGCGGTTGAGCGCCTCATTATGAAGCTGTACTCAGCCTCTGCAGCATGGGTTCAATTCTGGCTGGCCAGGGAGATTCCCACATGAGGCGCAGACCTCTCCTGTCTCGCCCACTGTTCCCCTCAGCAGTGTATTTCAGTCAGTCTGCCTGTTCTGTTCCCCGCTCTGTCTCTGGTGAATCCTCTCACCCTCCCGCGAATCTGGCCTGTACCCTGGTTCTTTATACATAAATAAATAAATAAATAATTCTTTTAAAAAATTTATTTATTTATACAAGAACCGGGGTACAGGCCAGATGTGCAGGAGGTAAGAGGATTCACCAGAGACAGAGCAGGGAACAGAAGAGGCAGATGGACCGAAATGCACTGCTGAGGGGAGCAGCGGGCAAGACAGGAGAGGTCTGCTGCGCCATGTGGGACCCTCCACGGCCGGGCCGGGATTGAACCGGCGCTGCGGAGGCGCAAACAGCTTCACAGTGCTGCGCTCAACTGCCTGCATCACCAGGAGACGCCCAGTAAATAAATTTTTAAAAAAAGAAAATGATGAATATATGTTGGCACAGAGTCCCAACTGTGCCAGTTTCCCCTCCCTCTCCAATTTCTGCCACAGCTCTGATTTGTCACAGAAATTCAGCATTTAAGGATTAAACTAACAAAGATAAGAACTCCTAGTCGCCAGGACATTTAGGTAAAAGAGAAAA